TGCACGGGACAGCCCCCGCAACAGAGAATTAGCCGATCTAAAATGTCAGCGGTGCCAAGGCGGAGAAATCCCGATCTAAATACACGCCACTCCTACGACTCTCCCAGCCCTCTCTTCTGCGTCGCCCTCTGACATGAAGGCATTACAGCAAATCCGCTCTAATGTACGAAAGATATTACTCCTGAGGATCCATGCCAGATAACCCTCAAGAGGCCTTCCCCACGCACGTCCCCTAAAGCCTCTTATTTACCCAAAGCGACTATTTTGCATCCACCGACGACCCCGCTAGTACACTCTACAAGCAATGGGGCTCCGGGGAGCGGCCCCGGCCCTGAGCGACGGAGGAGGGACTGTGCCTGCAGTGAGAACCCTGATCCCGGGTGCACCGCGCTGTCCCTGGCACCGAGCTGCAGCTCAGACGCGTGCTCCTTGTCAGGGCTGTCGGGAAGCATTCAACCCCAGGATGATTGAACAGTCCCCAGGAACGACTCGTCAGCAGCTCCCTCCCCGCCTCCTTCTCCCCCAAAGCCCTTGCTTCCTGACCAGCCCAGTGGCCCTGTCCCTGGCCTTGGGGAGCAGTGCTGTTAACCCCTCCTCCACGGAGCCTACAGGTCTGTAGGGTCTGTTGGATCTGTAGGTTCTACAGATCTGGAGCTGGCTGTGCAATGGGGGGCGGGGGGAGGATGCGAGGGTGGAGGACCAGGCATCAGGCTGCCCCCATCTGAATGGCCATGACATCCCTTCCAGAAATAAGCCGGTTACCTGCACAAGAAGTGATGCTCAAGATTGGTTCTTGTTGAATGAATGAATGACCAGAAGGGCAAATCCTATGAGATTCATTCATTCATTCTAAAATATTTGCTGAATATCTCGCCAGGCTGGGCACGGTCCCAGACGCTGGGAGGACAGAACAGACCAATGTCTGCTCTCATGAAGCCTCCCTTCTAGAGGACGGAGACAGATACTAAACAGACAGACAAGTCCAAATGGAACATAATATGGGGCAGTGCTGTGGAGAAAGTAAAGAAAGGCAAGAACATTGAGGCTGATGGGTTGGGGGCGATCCTTTAAATGGGGTGCTTTGGAGGGCTTCTTCAAGGAGATGACATTCAACCAAAGATCAGAAGGTCATGAGGGGAAGAGTCATGTCACCCTGTTGAGAACAGCAGGTGCAAAGGCCCTGAGGTAGGAAGGGTCTTTAAGAGTTTGAGAAACAGTAAAACAACCAGAAAAAGGGGATAAAGATGGGTCCTGGCATGACCTAGGAGCAGCAGTTCTCAGACAAGAGCCCACATCAGAATCACCAGAAGGGACCGGTCCCATGACCAAGTGGTTAAGTTCCTGTGCTCCACTTTGGTGGCCCAGGGTTTCACTGGTTTGGATCCTAGGCACGGGCATGGCACTGTTCAACAGGCCATACTGAAGCAGCATCCCACATAGCACAACCAGAAGGACCTACAACTAGAATATACAACTATGTACTGGGAGGCTTTGGGGAGAAGAAGAAGGGGGAGAAAAAAAAAAGATTGGCAACAGATGTTAGCTCAGGCGCCAATCACCAGAAAGGCTCATGAAAACACAGATTGTGGATGCCACCTGCAGTGTTCACTTGGGCTCTAACAAGTCACTGTGTGATGCTGATGCCTGGTCCAGGGATCACAGTGTAGAATATTTTTCTTTCATGCAACAAGCTCTTTCCTACTCGACACTTGCCACAGCAGTCATAGATAATCATGGCTCGGTTGTCCACCTCCCCACTGGGCTGGATGCTCCCGGAGAACAGCGACGAGGATGGTTCTGTCCATGGTGCTTAGTAAGGACTCAAGAGAGTATTTGTTGAAAGAATTCTTCAAAGACCGTTTGATGCTGGGCCCTGCCTCCCTTTCTTTTGCCATTCTGCTGTATATTTGGCTTCAAGCCGGTGCTTGGGTCACACCTATCTCTTATCAGTCTCCTGTTCACACCCAAGCAAAGGGTGTCACCTGACATTCTCCACAGCTCAGGCAATGCCACAACTCTGTGCCTTTGCACGTGCTGTTCCACCCAGGATCCCCTTCCCCCTTGTAAACTCCTACCCCTTCTTCAAGGGTCTCCTTCCAGAATATCTTCCCAACTCCCCTCTAGCTACTCAGGGTTAGGGGTGCCCTGGGGGCCCTGTATCCACTCACGTCCTATGGATTTGTCCACACATTTGTCTTTCTTTCTCGACTAAACGTCACAAACGGGCAGCCCCCAGGTTGAACCAGTCAACAAACATGTTCTACTGCACCTGCAGTGTTTTAAATTTGAGCTCACTGCCAAAATTGAGAGTCTGGGGATTTCACACAAAAATCCAGATTCCCTGCTCTTCTAGAAAATCCAGGAAGCTGCAACACCGGCCGGCGTTCCCACGTGGCCGCGATCTGCGAGGACTGCCTGGAACTCTGTCACCTCCTCCACTTTGCAGCCCCAGCTCAGTGCCTGGCCTCGGGGAGGCCCTCAAGAAAAGCTTACTAATGAAACGGGAAAGACTACACCAGGCAGTGGGAAAACACACGGGTCCCAGGAGCAGGAGACCTGAGGCTGGTTCTGATTCCAGCTGACTTGTTGCCTGACCTCCGGCTCTCTGTGGACCTCAGTTTCCCTGCCTGTTAAAGTGGAGCAATGAGAGTTTCCACCCTCCAGAGTCAGGGCATCAAAGAAGAGAGAGGATGTGAAGAGTTCAGCACGTGCCTGGCATATAACGCTCAACCAGCGAGCACTAGGACTGTGAGGAACTCTGTGAATATTTACTCCAGGACGGGAGGAAGTGTGAGAGGAGTCAGTGGCAGGAGACGTCCCCGTTGGGCGAGGGGTCCGAGGGTCTACCCGTGCTCCATTCCCAGTTCTGCTATTCACTAGCTTTGTGACCTTGGGCATTTGACTTAACCTCATTTGGGCCTCAGTTTTCCCATATATCACATGGAGATGATACAAGCCTCACGGGGGTTATTGTGAATATCAAATATGAACATGAATATTAAATTAATGAATCCTTTAAAGCACTTAGAATGAGGCCGGCATTCAGTATGTGCTCAATACAGAGCAGCTTGAGCTGTTATAGCTGCTTGAGATGGGGTTAGACTAGATTTTCTCAAGGACCCTCAAGGCTCCAAAACTCTCCGACCGCCTTGGACCCAGTGACTCTCCGTCATGCAGCTGCCATTTAGTCATCAAGAACGTACAGAAGGCCCTTGGGATGGTGGGGGGAGGGGTACAATTCACTATAAGGGTTTGCTGCCTCTCTAGAAAGATCCAAAATGCTCTTACAATGGTGCTGACTAAAACCACACCGAGCAGCAGCAATGCAAGGGGGAGAGAGAGTGCATGTGGTGCAGAGGAGAGCCCCACGTGGGAGGAGCTATTACAACGCCCCCTGCAGATGAGGAAACAGGCTCCAGAGGCTACCCCCAGAGGGATCTCAGAGTCTCAGCTCCCTGGAGCTGCCTCGGAAGGGTGACTCACTCCAGGGGTCCTGTAAGGGATTAATGGGGTCACGGTGAACAGGACAGCCTGGAGGGGGAGGCAGGAAGACCAGGCAGAGGGTTTCTGACTCATCGAGGCCTGGGGTGTCTGAGACAGACTCGCACGGTGTCTCTAAAGAAGAAACCTAGGTAAGAGGAACAAAGGCGATACAGGTCTTAACCATAACACCAGGAATGATTCCCCAGGAAAGAAAATTCCAGACGACTTGCGTTGTTTTACCTGGAATTTAGGGCTGAAACTTTCATAGCAGTTCGTAGAGTGTGTGTGTCCGTGGCCCTGCACAAGGCTGGCAGCCACACTAAGACACAGAGCAGCTGAGAGAAGACCCAGGTGACCGAAAGGCGTGTGATGGAGAATCCAGGGCACAGGCATCTTCCGGGGGCGCTGCTCTTCCCTTTCAGCATCAGCCACCCCAGGGGGCTCAGCAGGAGTGAGAACACGGGGCTTCTGGCCAACCTATGATGGTGACGATAAACCAGATCTGTCCAGATAAGTTTCTTCTCATTCTTCCACTCAACACTCACCAACCATGTCTCAGGGACTCACATCCTTTCTCTCTTTTAGTCCTCAGGACAACCGGTAAGGTGGGTTCTACGAGCCCATCTTTCAAGACAAGGAAAGAGGCTCAGGGCTGAGGCGCCTTGCCCAGCCCCGCAAGCTGGCAGGGATTTGAGTCTGGGCTCCTGACTGCAGAGCAAGAGGGGCCTCTCGGGAAAGTCAACAGACGTGGACGGAGCCTCCCGTGTGCGGGGCAACGCCCTGGATGCCCGCTGTCATCCAAATGTGGTACGTGCTCCCTTTTCCAAGAGAGGAAACGCGCCCAGAGGAAGTATGACTTCAAATGCCTGAGTCCAACCTCACCCTCATCCGAGTTCTCTTGTCCTCCCTTCTGTTCACAGACATCACTTTAAACACTTTCATATTTTGGACTTTAAAGCTCACAACATCCCTGGGCTTGAAAAATGAGATTTCCCTGCGGGATGCGGGGCAAGGACTGGATTTCTGGATGCACCTCACAGCCGCGCTGCCGGAACCCGGGAGCTGGGGGCGCGACAAGAACCTCCGCGACGTCAAAGCCGCTCAGAGCTCCGCTCGGGCAACTGCGCCCTCCTCTACTGCGCAGGCGCCGCTGCAGACTCGCGCGCGCCGAGGGGCCTCGTGGGCGAACCCATTTCCAGAAGGGCAGGGGCGTGAGGCTAATCCCCATTCCTCCCAGAGATGGGCTGAGCCAGCCTCTGGCCAATCAGAAAGCTTCTTTTATCACTGCCTCTGGCCACACGAGGTTGGAGTTCTTTTCCCTGAACTTTCCGGCGGTGCGGGTGCGGGAGGTGGAAATGATTGACATCTCTTTCAACCATTCGCCAAGCGGGTTAAGCTTGAGGAGCAGATGTCGCTACGAATTGTCTCACAGGAAAGGGATGCTAGTCCCGCCCCCTCCTCCCACTGGCCTTCGCGAACCTTTCGGGGCGGGAGCTCTTGGCGGCAGCCAATCGATGGCCAGGGAGGAAGAGGAGGAGGCGGGGCAGGGGGCGATGGTTGCCTGGCGAGCGAGGCTGGCGCGGTGCTGGTGTTGGGAGGGCTGCGGGGTCGCTCTTCCAGGTCCCCGCTGCCAGGGGCTGGGCCGGTACGGGGGCCGCGCCGCCTCGCTCGCACCTTTGCAGGCCACCTTCTGAGACCTTGAGCTGGGCCCAATCTGGCGCTCCCTTCCCTCCCTGCCCGAACCCTAGCTCCTGTTATCCGCCCCGCTCGCAGCCCAGCGGGTCCAGACCCCTTGTCCCCGTCCCCACCGCGGCCACAGCCCGTTGAGCGTCAGCCCTCCTGACTTCCCCTCTCAGGCAGGCCTGCCAACTCCTCCAGCCGCCGCTCTTCCTCTGTCTGGTCCTTGGAGGTGGTTGGTTACCATGGTGAAGCTGGCAGCCAAATGCATCCTGGCAGGTGAGTCTGAAAACTTGTGGTTGAGTACAGTCTCCGGAGTCCAGCGACTTCCTAAGTCATCGAGAGCTTTTGTTCGCGTAAATTGTCTGCCCTCTTTCCCCAAGGTGTGTTACTGCAATTACCGATGGAGCAAATTCCACTGGGCTGGAAGAATTCTCTTCCAGAGCGCATTTGTGGCTCCTGCTCATTTTCCCGCTGCCTGGCTACTCTGAGACCACCTTCTGCAGTCTGAGCTGCACTCAGGAGGAGTAGTCTCGTTAAAAATTAGGCTAGGCACACCATAAGTGCTTCACCTGAACGCATGTGCTGCTCCCCAAAGCTAAGCATCAGGGGGGTCGTTGACCCCTTCCCCTCTGATAACAGGGATAGGAGAGAGTGACATACAGTCGCCTGGAGTTTGCAGAAGGCCCATGTGTGTTGTCCTTAAGACCCAAAGTTCCTGGGTTGCCCGTGCTCAGGAGGGCATAAACATCCCCAAAAGCAGGAATCTTTGTTGCCTGATGTGTCCCAAACACCCAGAACAATACCTGGACATAGTAGGTACTCAGTAAATATTTGTAGAATGAATGAATATGTGACATTCGCATTTGTGGTGCTCTCATTCTATCGGTCTGCACATTTAGAAAAACATTTGCCAGGGTTATAGACCTGGACCACAGAACGTATGTGCTCCTTACCGCATGCCAGGCACATGTATTTCATCTAACCCTCCCACCGTAGCCCGTGGGGGTAGGTGCTGTCTTGTTCCCATCTGACTGAGGTGCTGAGAGGTGACCTTTCTCGCCCAAGGTCACCCCCTAGAGAAGGAAGGTCATAGGCAGGATTTCAACCCCCACACCTGCCCAACTCCCAGACTCTTAGCTTGTGTTACCGTTGAAACCTACGACCTCTCCAGGGTTCCCTGACCAGCTCAGGAAGGAATGGTGAGAAATTATGTAGAGGAAAAGGAGATTCTTTTTTCATTCCTCTCTTCCAGACTGAAAAGAGATGATATTTTTAATGACTTTTCTAATTTGGACATAAAAGGGTCACACGGAAAGATGACTGACAGCAGTAGCTCAAATCACACTGCAGCAAAAGAAATTAGTGGTTCTCCAGAGAGGCCCCTAGTTTCCAGAGTGCCAGAGGAGGCAGTATTGTGCCACAGAAATCATTCTGGCTCTTTCTCTGATTGGCTGTGGCATCTTGGAAAAGCCTCAGTTTCCTCATGGATAAGGTGGGAACGTTTTTATTTTCTGAAGCTAGATTTTTTTTATTGGACTTCTCTGACTCTTCTTTCTCTTCTTTCTTTTTTTAATTCAGCTTCCATCATGGGGCCAACTTACTAAGTACCTTCCATGTGTCAGCACTGTGCTAGAGCCTCACCACAGGCTGTCTCGCTGAATCCTCACAACAATCCTGTGAGGTCGGTGTTATCGTCATCCTCATTTACAGATGGGGCAGCTGAGGCCCAGAGAGGTTAAGACACCTGCCATGGGTCACACAGCTGGGTACAGCAGACCTGGGATCTAGATCCAGGTGATCTGGTGTCCAGGGCTTTGTTCTTAGCCCCCAAGCTGTAGCGTCCTCAAGCCTCGATTCTAGACTCTTTGCCCTTCTTTACACTCGTTCCCTCGGGTACTGTTTGACCTCACTTCAGCCACTGCCTGAGTAAGTGATTCCTGAACTCCAGCCTAGCCCTCGGTCTGCAGCCTCCTTTCGAGGCCTCTGGAGTGTCTCCTCTTGGAAGTTTACAGGGGCCAAAAGACCTCAGCACAGTGAGTCAGCCTCCCATCACCCCCCCCCCAAATTCTCCGTCTCCACACCACCCCCGCCACACTCCCCTCACAGGCTTAGTCTGTCTGTTTTTCCTCTCGCATAACTCGTCACCGAGGGACCTGATACTTAATTCGAGTGCTCGTCCATTCAACAGATTTTTATTGAGGACCTACTATGCGTGAGTCACCAGGCAAGGTGCAGTGAGAATACAAGGAGGGATCAGGCCGCCCCTCCACTCAGGGACGCACTGGTGTGCGTCGTCCCTTCCAAGGCAGCCGACAGAAATCGAATGTCCTTCGTGTACCAGGGACCAGAGAAACACCTCACAGCACAGGTGTTAATTGTTCTGCTTCAGGTGAAGAGAGAAAACACTTGATTGATCTAGATTTTATTTAAATATTTCTTAATAGATGTCAGGCACTGTACATATTAATTCATTAAATCCTCTAAGCAGTTCTGTAAAATAGGTGCTGTTGTTACCCCCATTTAGTAGATGTGGCAGCTGAGGCCCAGAGAGATTACTGACCCGAGGTCACACGGCTAGTCAGTGATGGAGCCGGAGTCTGGGCCTAGGTGCTGTGAAATACCGCCTGTCAGTATATGTGGGGATGGTAACCCTGCCTCCCGGGGCTTTGCTCTGACATCGTCTCCTGCTCCCAGCCATGAGCCATGTTAGCCACGCAGGTGCAGGCGGAGCAGGGAGGGCTGACCTTCAGAGGCCGTGTGGGAAGAACGTCCTCTGAGCTTCGGCTGCAGAAGAGGAGCAGGATTTAGTCTTGGCTTGGAGAGAACTGGAAGGAGGTCATCGTGGAGGGATTTTCAGAGATCAGGACAATAGGAGTGTAGAGCCCAGATTTTGGGTAAGCGAGAGTTGGAGGGAGAGTTGGAGGGTGGGCTAGGGGCTGCCTGAGGAGGGGGTGTGCAGGGGAAGGAATCCTTGGCGGGTTTTGCGAGGGAGCGTGACAGGATGAAAGTGCTGGGCTATGAGGGTCCACCTGTTGAGGCCCAAAGGGTGGCTTTGAGCAGGGAGAAAAACAAACAGGAGAGAGGGCTGGCTGGGGAGCGTGTTCACTCAAGAAAACAGGACATCAGGCATCTCAACAGAGGAATTTTAATCTGTGGAATTGGTTTCGCTGGTGTTGGAGACCTGGAAAAGCACAAAGACAACATTGAGATGACACAGGCATGGTCGAGAGAGCTTGGCCTGGTCAGAGGCTTGAAGAAGAACCCCACAGAGCTGGGATCCAGACCTCTGGACAGGGGGCACTGCCCGGCTGCGCTGGCCCCTCAGGAATTCAGTCACCCAGCGTGTGAGGCCACCACGTGCCATGGATCACTAGGACCCATTGCCCACTGGCAGGGAGCTCAGCCCTGTGTTCAGGGCAAGATGCCACCAAACTGATCGATTCCAGAGCATCCTGAGGGTCTGTGTGTGAGTGGCGCACAAATGCATATGTACATAGTGGTGCATATGTACCAAGGAGGGGTACGTAAGTCAGGGTCCAGGCAAAAAGCAGAAACTAGGTCTTTCCACAGGACTTACTGTGGGCAGTTAATTAACCAGGTATGGAGGACTGGAACGGCAAAAGGGGACAGGAGGGTGGCACAGAGAGTAACTTGCAGGAAAGGATTTCATCCCAGGGCTGGGGGAGCAGAGGGAAGAGGGGGGTTATCAGGACCCTGAAGCTCAGGAGGGCCCTGGTGACCAGGATGCAGACCTCTGGGAAGGGGTACCGCTCAGTGGTGCTGGCGTCTCTGATCGGGTGTGATAAGACTGGTCTGGGAGCGCAAAACAAAACAAAACAAACGGGAGACAGCCACCAACGACTGCTGCTGGGGTGAGGGCCATTGCTAGGATGATGCTAAGAGAGACAACAAGCAAGTAGGAAGGAGCAAGTCCCATCGGCCCCTCCAGCCTTCCAGTCTTGCTCTGGAACTCGTGTTGGCACGACCTGACGGGAAGCCCCCAGGAAAGGAGAAACGTGTCTGCAGAGTCCCAGCCCAGCATCACAAGGCAGAGCATGGACGGGTGGGTTTGGGGCTGCGACAAAGCCAGGTCTGAGGTCAGAGGTAACCAGGGCAGTGTCATCAGTGACAACGAAGGAAGTGTGGGCTGGGGACCCAGCAGAGGATGTCAGGGATGAAGAGGAGACCAGCTGGGCCCGGGAAGGAGGAGAAGGAGCGGTCAGAGGTGACCATGGGTGAAGTCTACGGGCGGTGAGAACAAATGGTGATGTCATGAACAGAACAAGTGAGATAGGTGAGTGAGACCACTTGGCACCCAGGCACCTGGCTGTGGACAGGCTGAGATTGGGGAAGGCCCACCATTCCAGTGGAGACATCCACAGGTTGTTGGAAGCGCAGACAAAGCTTGGGAGAGAGACCTGGCCTGAGAAGTGACAGTCAAGGCAATGAGAGTAGATGGGAGCAGAAGGCCAAGGACAGACCCGCAGGAGCACCCATGTTTAGGAGGCAGGAAGGTGGCCAAAGTGGAGGGAGAACCAGGCTGGCGCAGGGTCACCAGGGCCGCGGGGCCAGAGGGCTCAGGAAGGAGGGGCTGCTGCAGGCTGACTCATCCTTCAGAGAGAAAAAGCCACTGGACTTGACGACTATGAGGTGACGGGTGACCTTGCATCATGCCTGTGCAGGCGTCACCCCCTCTGTCCATCTCTGTCCAGCAGTGTCCGCCCTGCTGTCACCCCTGGGTGCAGCGTCAGCCCAGGGGACATCTGCCCGCTGTGTTTCTTTCCTCGTTGTGCCCTCAGCCGCTTTGGTTCTTCTCTGTGCTGTTTGAGTTTGCACTTGTCGTCTTGTTGCTCTGCAAACATGTTTATTGGTGATTCCCTCCCTGGGCTTGGATTCCTTCTCAGCCGACGCCGGAGGTTTTCCGGAAGTGTGGGTGTCTCTGACTGACAGGCGGAAGAAAGATTTATGAAATTAACCAGAACAAATCGGTGGGGATTTTCACAAGCGCGAAGAGCCTGTTTCCAACTGGACTCAGAGGGAAAACTGGAGTCAGGAGGCTGGAGGCAGCCGTCACGCACGGAGGGAAGGCATGTGCTCTGTGTGCTCCAAGACGGATGGTACCCAGCGACGGTCCAGTCCAGCCTGTGGTTGCCTCTGATGTCAGGGAAGGCTGCAGTGATGAGGGCCTGAAGGAGCAGTGTTAAAAATGGGTCAAAAGTGTCCCTGAGCTCTAGGAAGGGAGTGGGGTCTGCTGGAGATTGCATAGTGTTGCAATCCCAGGCTGGTTACCCAGCTTCTCTGCGCCTCAGTTCTTCATCTGTCAAATGACGTTAGTGACGGTCCCCGTGGTGGGGGCAGGGGGCTGGGAGGGAGTGAAGGGGATCGTGTGAGTAGGCTCACCTGTGTTGCTTCCCTTCTGAGAAGTGGTGGCAAATCGAGAACCCAGACCTGCGTAGCTCCCTCGCACGTGGAGGAGTTCACATGAAACGAAATGCCACGAGTAGTGGAGTAATTGTCTCACGAGAGAACATTATCCAGGGGGAAAAGTCAAAACTGAGAAGTGAGCAGAGCCGCAGGCTCTCAAGAAGTCCAGTGAGGAGCGACGGTGAAGAGATGGTCCCGAAGGATGCGAGTCAGAGGCCAAGAGCATGGCGGGAACTTACTCAGGGTCAGGGGCGTGAGACAGCAGGAGACAGGTGTTCCGCCAGGGCAGGGCAATGGGGCAGAGTCAGTGTGGGACTCTGGAGGGGGAAAAGGCCTTGCCAGTGAAAACAGCAAGAGCCATCACTGAGGGAGTGGGGAGGGCCCAGGGCAATTAAGGGTGGGCCCAGAGAGCCTCCAGCACCTTCGGGGGCAGGGGAGGAACTCCAGATTCAATTGCTCCCAACAGTGTTGTGAAAGGTCCAGATCTCAGACCGAAACTGTGACATAAACCTTTAGTTTTGAGGTACCAGTGTATGAGGCTATCGACTGACAAAGGAAAGCCGTGGAGATAAAGCCAGTGGGTCTCAGATGAGCTCGAGGAACCAGTGGCTGTTGCAGATAGAATTGGAGGAGAGGCCCTGGGAAGATGGATCTGCAGCGGGCACGATGGGCACACCGGCGTGGAGGTGGAATACGTCACCTGGAAATGGATTTCAGGATGGCGAATTTGGCATCTGACTTCGTTTCACAGACGCAGAAACCCTCCCAACACCCTCCTCCCTGAAAAAAGAGCTTGCTGGGTCCTGAGTGTGGAGGCTCTGAAGTCACACGGGTTCAAGCAGGCAGGTGAGCCTCGGGGTCTGCGCCCGGCCACACCTCTACCTTCAAGGCTTCGAAGGAAATTCACGTTGGAAAGTGACAGTTTTTCCCCATAGGGCGTGCGTCAGTGGAAGAGTGTCAGTTCTATTTCCAGGGCTCTGAAGCCCTCCTTAAGCTCTGTTTCCTTCTGGGTCATTTCTTTGGGTTGAAAGAATTGCCCTTGAAGAAATGTGACTCTGGCCGTCAAGGGCTTTGAAGACTGGTCTCGTGGCCCCGATGCCCTGCCAGCGACCTCAGAGCAAGTGCTCTCGAGAATCGAGAACACTTCCTCTGAAAACTCATTGTGGTTTTTGGTTTCTAGCCCAGCGTTCTCGAGTGGGAGATTCTTGAGTCAGATTAGGATGGAAGTGAATGTTTTTCTTCTGCTTCCCCCTCACAGGAGACTCAACGGTGGGCAAGACGGCCCTGGCGCAGCTCTTCCGCAGCGACGGAGCCCACTTCCAGAAGAACTACACCCTGGTGAGATGTGGGGCTCGTAGGCCTGGCCGAGGTGTCGAGGGAATGACCAGATGGCCCCCAGGGAGTGACTTCCCAAAATCCTTGAAAAAGCCCTAAGAGGTCTGACGAGAGGCTGCTCCAGTGGCCACGTGGAGATGCTTTTCCACAAGCCACAGGGCGTGGGGCCGTCTGCAGAGCAGACCGGCTGGTGGTCGACTTGGTCACCATGGATGGCTTGCTTGTAGGCAGGAAGTTGGACGAGATTAATTGGTCCTCTCTGACTTCTGCACCAAAAGTGAGTCCAGAACACGAACACCTAAACTGGGCATCTGCCTGCGGGCGTTGGGTGCTCCTCATGTCCTCCTGTAACAGGCCTCTCGGCGCCCTCTGACACGCACGTTCTGGGTTTTCCACGGCGCCCTCTGACACCTTTTCTCGTGGTGCCCTCTGACACATGTTCTTGGTTTTCCTTGGCGCCCTCTGACACGTGTTCTCGGTTTTCCGCGGCGCCCTCTGACACGTGTTCTTGGTTTTCCTTGGCGCCCTCTGACACGTGTTCTCGGTTTTCCGCGGCGCCCTCTGACACGTGTTCTCGGTTTTCCGCGGCGCCCTCTGACACGTGTTCTCGGTTTTCCGCGGCGCCCTCTGACACGTGTTCTCGGTTTTCCTTGGCGCCCTCTGACACGCACGTTCTGGGTTTTCCTTGGTGCCCTCTGACACCTTTTCTCGTGGCGCCCTCTGACACATGTTCTTGGTTTTCCTCGGCAGACAACAGGGGTGGACTTGGTGGTGAAGACGGTGCCAGTCCCTGACACGGGGGACAGTGTGGTAAGTGGTGCCCTCGACCCAGGGTGGGCAGTGCTGCTCCAGCCGGGCTCAGGGTCTCCTCCCCATGAGAGATGCGGTGCGAGGACTTGGCCTAGACCTGTCAGCGCTGGGAACAGAGTCTTGGCATGCGGGAAGCGTCGGAGGGGAGGGCCGAAGAAGAGGAGGTAAGGGAGACTGGGCTGTGGGCCTGCCCTCAGAACTCAGCTCGCATCAAGGTTCTCGCCCTGGGTCCCTCTGTGGGCCTCCACGACTCTCAAAACTGAATTGCAAGATGCTGTGTTTGTATATATCTTCCTGGAGAGAAGGTTTAAGAAACACCACCTTCTTAAAGAGGTCCGTGGGCAAAAGACAGTAGTAAGCAGCCCGGATGCAGTGAGAAGGGGTCAGATGAGTGCCCTGTGTGCAGCACACATTATGTGCTGACGTCCACACAGCGTGTGCCGGGGGGCAGAGCCGGCCAGGGATATCCAGAGCCGGAGGGAGCTTTGGGGGGCAATTAGGGGAGCCTTCCTGGAGCAGCCGCCGTGGGGAGGGTCTCTCCCACGGCTGTCCAAGCTTTGGACAGGGGCGGGAGGGGTCATCCTGTGCCCTCCGCCAGAGTCACAGCCTCGCCATCCCAGAACGATGACAGACTGTCCTACTTTAAGCACCTTCTCCAGGCCTCGTCGGTGACCTCCTTTACAAAGAATTGTTTCACGATTTGCAGACCAATTTGGTTAACACAGCGCAGAGTGACCTTTTGGAAAGCAGAGCGCTCGTCAGCCTGTTTAGCATTCTGTCCTGCCAGGTGGGAAGGCGGCTTCTTCCTGGCGTTTGGCCCCGGGCGTCAGGAGGGCTGAAACGCAGACACGGAAAGTGCTGGCCGGTGTGGGAAACCCTCGAGCTGCGTCTCTCAGACTCTCGAACTCGTGCCTTTTCCCATCGTCTTCCTCCCGCCTTGGGGGAAAGATAGGGTATATGAAAATTTGTGTACGTGGGCGTGTGTGTGTCTCACCATGGGGGCAGGTCAGCGGTGAGCGGAGAGCAGTATCGTGATGCGAGCCAGTGGTTTCCCCACGTGTAGACTTTCTTGGGACATGCCTCTCTGCTTCTAGGAACTCTTCATTTTTGACTCTGCCGGCAAGGAGCTGTTTTCTGAAATGCTGGACAAATTGGCAAGTAGCGTTTGGTCTTTTTCCTAATCACCTCCGCCGCCTCCCACCAAACAGTTTGCCTCTTACAGCAGTGTCACAGAAATGTCCCTGCACTCCAGCCGCCAAGAGAAGCTGCCACGGCAAAAATCTTTCACGGGCATTCTTGTGACTTGTGGCCCCTTGGCGAGTAGGAATGGCTCATGTATGTGACTGGGGATTGTCCCCTCCCCCAGCTCTGCAGTGACCGGGTTCCAAATGTGCTAGAGCCCTGTGGCTCAGCGCTTGCAGCACCCAGCTCTGGGACCACCCTTCTTTTGAGCAACCCACTCCTCAGCCTCCTAGAACAGGGGCACATCTTTCCTTCCCCTCCAGGGGGTCCCTGGAGGCCCTGTAGTGGGCCTCACCTTCCCGGCCCAGCCCCTGGGCGCACCGGGGTTTGCTGTGGGACGTGCCCCTCCTGCCGGCCAGGGCTCACCGGCACATCCGGCCATCCTCTCAGGATGCAGCTTGCTGTCCGTCTGTTCAAGGTAACAGTTCTGCAGATCTGGGCCAGGGAGCTAATTAGAAGGCCTGAGCTCTCCAGAGCCCTCCCCTGCCTTTCCAAGAACAGCTACATTTTAATAGAAACTGTTTTCTTCCCCTCTTTTTGTTGTCTAAGAGAAATAGATCAAGTGATGGTAATTTCACGCAGGGCTGGCTTCATATATCAGTTCGTGTTGTTTACCACGTGCCTACTATGTGCCCGGCCTGGCACTGGGTGCTGCCCTGTCCAGCAGAAGGGAAGAGGTGTCCGTGCCAGTCAGGGCCACGTGCTCCCGATCAACCCACACCCCGCTCCAGCCAGCCCTGACCCCAGGCTCCCCTGCTCCGGCTTGATCCCGGGCCTAACCCGGCTCCCCCACTGAGGCCTGGAGGAGGGAGATTTGTCGGGTTAAATCGCGCTCTGGCGTCTCCTCTCTGCGCACAGAGGGGTCAATGAGATTCCAGCAAAAGTTCTCGAGTTTGTCTGTGGAGGGAAAGTGTGGGGGGACCATCTGTTCAGTCCAGGCCCCTCCGGGAGCCAGTGTAGCCTTCGAGGGGAGGCCCTCCAGAGCGCATTCTGGGCTGACCTTCCAAGGACAACTGGGTGGAAAAGGATTCTCGCTCACACCCTGGGAGGCCACTGGCACCCCAGAAATAGATCAGGCTCTAATTGTGGGGTGGGGGGGTATCCCCAGAGACCAGGGTATGGCTAAGAGAGACATGCATCAGGACAAGCGTCACAGCCTGAGCAGAGCTGTCCTGTGTCCCCTGCCAGGCAGCAGGTGGTCCCAGGACCCTGAGCAGCCCCTGAAGGCAACAGCCCTGGTTCTTAATTGGTCCTTAACTGTGCCCTGTCCACTTGTCAGCCTGGTTTGGATGAGGGCTGATACACTGCAGGAGAAGCAGAAAGTGGCCTTTGCATTTTGAAAAGCCAGCCCTTATTAAGAAGATGCAAGCAAACAGCTCCCTGTGACTGGCTGATTAGAGAAACGATGCTCTTTTAGGCCTTCAAAGCAGAAGAACATAACAACATGCATAATGGTGGGCCCTCAATAAGAATGAGTGCAAGAAGAAATTCATGAAACCGGTGGCAGGCCAAAAAGCATTTCTGCGTGAAGTCCTGCTCCGGTCTCTGTTCTTGTTTCTGAAGCATGTCTGACCTGGGCAAGTCAGTTACCCTCTCCGAACGTGGTGTCTTCAGCTACACAGTAGGGATGTTTAGACCAGCCCTGCAAAGTTGGGAGGTTTCACAGCGATGCACAGAAAGCGCCCGGCAGAGAGCCTGGCCCCGATGGAGCTCTGACAGCCGCTGCACCTAGACCGTGCCTGCCACCAAGCCCAGCCCTCCCATTCATGCCTCCGGGTGTGACTCAGTTTTCTGACTCACATCCCCTTTCGGGTTTTTCATTTCCCTCCCCCCCCCCGCCACCCCCCAGCATGTCCCCTCCCTTGGAAAGCGAAATTTCCTCCCAGCCCGGAAGTCACTTTCACTGTTGCTGACATGTGCTCGTCCTGTCCCTCCTGCACAGTGGGAGAGCCCCAACGTCTTGTGTCTCGTCTACGACGTGACCAATGAGCAGTCCTTCCACAACTGCAGCAAGTGGCTGGAGAAGGCTCGGGCGCAGATCCCGAGCACCTGCCTCCCAGGTAAGCGCTCGCTACAGGCGCCCGTCTCTCGCAGCAGCGCCTCTGTCCTTCAAGCTCAGGAGCAAAAGGTCATTGCAGAGGTGGCTGTGGGCGCAAAAGGAGCATGCCCTGGGCTTGGAGTGTGATGGTCTGGATGTACACTGGCTCTGCCGCTCAGCGGCCACAGAAGCCTCAGGGGGTTCGCAGCCCTGCGTGAGCCTGTACAACGGGCAAGATGACACCCACCCAGCAGGGTCGCAAGGAGACTCAAGGTAATAAGGAGCAAGGGGCCATGATGTGAATTTGAGTTGTTATTTCCAGAAAGCTGACCCCATGGAAGAATTCCTCATTTTCTCCTGTTTGTGGGCACGAGTCGACATTCAAGTCCTTTTGTCACTTCTGAATGCTTTAAATCAGTTTATTTTTCATCCCTATGTGAGATCAACAAATTCTCCTCATTATAGACCAGGGAAAGCGATCTCCAGAGACAGGCTCAAAAATTAGCTGCAGCTGATGCAGCTGCGAACGGAACTAATTTCCTTCTGAATCCCTGACTCTGAGCCCGGTCCTTAGATTAGTAGTAATGACCATTTTTAAAGTCTGCTCCATGTGCTAGGAATTACCACAAATGGTCACGTAAATTTGGCCCTCGCCTTCACGGTGCTCGCCGCCGTGGGAGACGAGGCAGACAGGTACCCGGAAAGTCTAGGAAAAGGGCCGAGCAAAGCCTCGTGTGAACGCAGAGCCCGCCTGCCGTGCTGCGGCCCCCGGGGCCCCTGCTCTCCCTGTCGTGCACCCACCTCCAGTCGGGCAGCCTCTCTCCCACGATGTTTTATGCCCCTGAAAATTAGCATGCTTGCTCTTTTATCTCTCCAGCTGTCCTCGCAGACGGCCACAGTTAACCGTGATATGTGGTGGTTTCTTTTGAATAGGTGTGTTAGTGGGGAATAAGACAGACCTGGCCGGCAGACGAGTGGTGGAATCAGCACGGGCCCGGGCCTGGGCGCTGGGCCAAGGCCTGGAATGTTTTGAAACATCCGTGGTGAGTATCTCCCCTGGCTGCGTAGCCAAGTCTGGAGTGGGCCTCTGCTGGAAGCGGTTTTTCACCTGACCTCACGTGCCTTGGGTCGTCGTTCCACCATGTGCAGAGTCTAATTTGGAACTGATGTTTACATTCTTAGCCCAAGATCTTTCTCAATAGAGCAGGAGTCGCTCATGCATTACAATAAAGCAGATCAGCCAGCCAGCCGTGGGAGAAGTTGTGTCTCCATTAGTGAGAAATACAAGTGTGTTGTGCTCAGTTAGGGTGACCCTTGACATTTGCTGAGCTATTATGGGTTGCGGTGTTGTTGGAACATTATTTCAGAGACTCAAAATCAGTCCTGTGAACCAGGAGCTGGCCCCACAATTCCCACTTCCATGTCGAGGGGAAGTGACTTGCCCAAGGTCACAGGGCTAGTAAAGGGTTGAGCCAGGACTAGGATCCCTGGCTTTGGATTCCCGTTGGTGCTCCCCGTCCCCACTTTGCTGCAACCCCAGGGTGACTCCAGGCCAGAGTGTCCTCCAGTAGAGTCACCAGGAGCCCTTGTCCAGGGGGACAGTCAGTGACTTGTTACAGGCACCTTCACACTGTGTCATGATTCTGGCTGTCTGGCGCTGGTGGCCCCTTCGTGTGTTGGGAGTTTTGAGGTCGCAGCCGGAATGCAGGCGTGTGACCCAGGCTGCACCAGTTGGATACACTTGTGTGAGACTCCACCCCTGCAGGAGCAGCCCAGAAACATCCATTTCAGCGCCAGCAGGGCCCAGGCGCAGGCTGCAGTGCCCTCCCCCAGAGCTGTTGAGACCTGCCAGGCCTGGCACAGCCAGAGGCATCGGTGGTTGTAACTTGGACCTCGCTCCTGGCCTTGTGGCCTGTGGACCTGATTCTTTGGCCCTCTAGGAGAGTCAGTGGGCTGGTTACTAAATAGCCTGGTGCTCATTTTCTGCTCGAACTCTACTGAAGCTACAGGCGCTTCTGTTGCATCTATGAAACTGGACAAATGCTGCTGTTCAATAGCTGTATGGACGTGAACTTCTTAAATCCCCCCAAAGCCGTGTGCTTCCTTAAGGGAAGCGTGGCGGGTGGAGGCAGGTGCCCTGGCCTCGGGCGTGAGCAGCAGGGCTGGCTGTGGGGCTCTCGGCACCTTACCGAACCCATCGGTGCCTCAGGCTCCTCGCCTGCCAAATGGAGGCGAGAAAACACACCCCTCATTGAGTAACAAATATGAGAGTTAAGGCGGATGGCGAATATAAAAACACTTAGCGCAAAGTCTAGTGCGTAGTAAACACTCAATAAATGTTAGCTTTTTAAGTATAAATGTTCCCTTAGTTGTCTTGTTTATACCGTTATTACTTACTAAATCCTCGTATTCCCGTCGTAGATTGTACAAAGATAAGCATCGCTCTTGCCTCTGGCCCAGTTATCACAAATGCTAAATTAATGAAGTTCAAATTAGGGAGCTTTCACCGGATGGAGGGTTCTCGGCTTCGAGCAGAGCGGGCAGCCCTGCTCCCCACGTCAAACGGCATTTTCGTATTCCCTCTTCCTCCATTCACATTTGTGAAATTGCCTCCTCACCCCAATCGCTCATTTTCCCCGGAACTCTTGATGGAACTCAAAAATTAACACCCACCCCCAGCACATTAGTCACCAAAGGCCACAGGGCGTTGTGATTAAGCTCCGCTCAGGTGTGAGTTGCTACGCTGTGGAAGCAGGTGGGTATAAATTATGCGTGAGGAGGCTGCAGTTAAGCGCTTGGTGTTAACTGTACAAGTTAACTAGTCCCCCCTGAGCTGATGCGGACAGAGGCACCACCGGCAGCTCGGTTAAGAAAGCTGTAATTAAAAAGGAAATATAACCAAATGCTGTTTGAGACGCAGCCAAGTCTTGACACCAAGCTCATATCCTCCCTCTTAGGAAATGCAACAGCAGTCGGCCTGCAGGCCGAAAGGAGGCGCCTACGTGTTTGTTCGACTTTGTTTATTTTTAATTCCATCCCCAGAATTTATTCATCTTAAAACTGGAACTTTGTACCCTTTGACCGCCTTCACCCATTCCTCCCATCCCTACCAACCGTGGCCGCCACCAGTCTGCTCTCTGTTTCCAGGAGTTCAGTTTTCTCATATTCCACTTTTCAGTAAAATCATACAGTATTTGTCTTTCTCTGACTTATTTCACTTATCATAATGCCCTCAAGGTCCATCCGTGTTGTCACAAATAGCAGGACTTCCTTCTTTTTTATGGCTGAATAATATTCCCGTGTGTGTCTGTACGTGCGTGCACCACATTTTCTTCATCCGTTTGTCTGTCAGCAGACGCTTAGGTTGTTTCTGTGTCTTGGCTGTTGTGAAAAACGCTGCAATGAACATAGGGCTGCATAAGTCTCTTTGAATTGTTGATTTCATGTTCTTTGGATGAATACCCAGCAGTGGAATTGCTGGGTCATATGGTATTTCTGTTCTTCATTTTTTGAGGAAACTCCATACTGCCTTCCATAGTGGCTGTACCAGTTTGCACTCCCACCAGCAGTGTATGAGGGTTCCCTTCTCTCCACATCCTCTCCAACACTTGTTATTTCTTGTTTTAGCGACATAGCCATTCTCACAGGTGTGAGAGGTATCTCTTTGTGGCTTTGGTTTGCATCTCCCTGGTGACGAGCGATGTTAAGCACCTTTTCATGTATGTGTTGGCCATTTGAATATCTTCTTTGGAAAAATATCTATTCAGATCCCTTGCCCACTTTTTATCAGACTGTTAGTGTTTTTGCTTTAGAGTTGTATGAGTTCGTTAGAGATTTTGAATAGGAACCCCTTATCAGATGGAAGGTTTGCAAATATTTTCTCCCATTCTTAGGTTGCCTTTTGGTTGCTTGTTTCCTTTGCTGTGCAGAAGGGTTTTAGTTGAATGAACTCCCGCTTGCTGATTTTGCTCTTGGTGTCGTATCCATAAAATCGTTGTCAAGATTGATGTCAAGGAGCTTCTTCCCAGTGTTTTCTTCTAGGACTTTTATGGTTTCGGGTCTTAAGTTCAAGTCTTTAATCCATTTTGAGTTCATTTTTGTGAATGGTGTAAAATATGGGTCCAGTTTCATTCTCTTGCTTGTGAATGTCCAGTTTCCCCAGCACCATTTACCGAAGAGACTGTCTTTTCCCCATTGAGTCTTCTTGGCTCCCTTGTCAAAGGTTAGTTGACCGTCTATGTGGGGGTTTATTTCTGGGCTCACGGTTCTCTTCCACTGGTCTTTGCATCTATTTTTATGTCAGTACCACGCTGTTTGGATTACTATAGCTTTGTCATAGAGTTTCAAATTAGGAAGTGTGATGCCTCCAACTTTGTTCTTCTTTCTCAGGGTTGCGTTGGCTATTCGGAGTCTTTTGTGGCTCCTCTTTGACTTTCTAACACCACCTGATATTGGACATTTTCAGGCCCAAAAATTAAAAAGCGTTTCTTTTAAACATAAGTTAAAATTTTTTAAAAAAATGTTCTTCACTGTAAGAAGTTGGACAATATTAAATACAAACAAGTTCAAGAAAGATGCACATGAATGACTCTCCTCCCAGGAAGGGGAGGGGTGGGGAACTGGTGCGTAGTGAGCACCTACTGTGTGCTAGGTGTTTTGCACACATTATCTATTTAGGCTTCTAACAGCCCTGCAAGGCAGCCGCTCCTGTCCCTGTCTTAGAGGTGATGAGCAGACCTAGAAGAATTGTGTAGCTTTCCCAGGTTGCCCAGCTAATGATCAGTAGAACCAGGAATAGAATGCAGGCCTGTCCAGCATGAGAACCTTCTAGAAGGGGTTCTGGCCTCCCACAGAGCCTACTTGGGGACTCTAGGGCAGAATTCTAGGCCAGATTGAGTGCTAGTCTGAGCCTGCTCTGAGGATCCTTCTCGCAAAGCAAACCTCCTCTAGAGTATGTCAGCAAGATTACAATTAGTCATTTAACAAAAGGATTCCTGTCCTTGGCGAGCCCTCGTAACGCATTTGCAAAATGGTTCAGTTTGCATCTGCTATTTCAGGAGCGTTCCGTGGTGAGCTCGCCTCCATCGAATTCCTTACTTTTTATGCTGCATTCTCCCAAGATCTTGCTTTCAAGAGCTTTCGAATTCCTTTAGGAATTCGTGTGCATGTGCTACGTAGGCCTCATTCTCTTTCCATCCAATACTTAACTACACTTTCAACTGATGTGACAGTTACTCTTTGGCATCAGCATTGCCCAGGACAAGATGCTCTGCATGGCCACAGGTGCCTTGCAGATATAACTGAGTTATTCACTTATGTCCACCTGGAGAGTGACAGCTTCCTGGTCCTTGGCAGCCGTGAGCGTAGTGCAGATGCTCTCTCGGCTGCAAACGGCCCTCCCCTTGCTCAGCGCTCTCTTAGCCCTGCCGCCTCTGATTCTGCTCTTGGCCCCGTCTCCTCCAGAGTCCAGGTGACTCCCCACAGGAGCTGGTGTCCCCTGCGCGTTTCTGTGATCTTGGCTGGCAGAGCGGAAAGGCTGCCCTTCTCAAAGTGGGGAGTCTGATTCTAGGCTGGGCTGTGCATCAACCGGTGGGGCCTCTGCACCCCTGGGCCCCAGACACTGAGCTGGCGGACCCTATAACGCCCTTCCGTGTGGAAATTCTTCCCTTTCTTTGGGGATGTTTCTTTGCCTCTTATCAAGGCTGCACCTTTGCCAGCTGCCAAGGGTTGTTTGAAACCAGGTTTTTGTGCACTCATAGCTGGAGCCCCTCTCTTGAAAGTGGTGGGTACTTTCTTCTGCCAACTTATTTCCTTAAAAAATTTAAAAATATGCGTGCACCCACAGAGAGGCAGAGAAGGATAGCTTTAGGTTGAGAGGGGCCGTCTTCCTTCCCCCAGAGCTGTCCACGCTCACCCTGTGGGACTGGTTCTTCCCACCCCTGGAGAAAATCTGGGGCAAGTTCCACAATGTTTTTGATCTCTCTCAGATAATAAACTGCCCTTTGGGCGCTTTTAGTCCCCAAAACATTCATAATTTCGGTTATTAAAATGCCCAGTCCTGGATGACTGAAAATTCCTGGCTTGATTGGAAGTGCAGCCCCCTGCACCTGCCGTGGGCCGCAGGGCTGGCCCAGCTGCTGTGGGTGTCTGTGCCCATCTGCGCCCGCGCTTTTCCTGCCTGGCAGCCTGCGGGGAAGGGGAGCAATGCTGAGTGAGGCTGGTCCCAGGGTCAATGCCACAGCACTGCCCCCCGGGGGGGGGGGGGTGGGCCCAGCCTCTCGGGCCCTCTCCAGAGCGTGGGGTCCTTGCCGTCTGTCATTTTGCTTCGGCCTTTGGGGCCTCAGTTAATACTAAGCGAGAGAGGAAGTCTGTTAATGTCGTGTCACACACACACTGAGAGGCTCAGAGTGCAGGCTCCGTAGAAACAGTCTGGGTTCAGACCCGGCTCCACCACTAACGAGGGTGTGGCTTGTGGCAAGCTGCCTCCATCTCTCCGTGCCTCTCTTTCCTTCCTGTAAAAAGGGCATCGAGATAGTAGCCAGCCCAAATGGTGCGGAGGTGAAAGGAGGCGGGATGTGGGCAGCCCTGGCTGAGTGAGAAGAGCGAGTGCTGCTGTGCGATGAAAGGACAGTCACACAGCCGACCTCTTGGCCTTGTCTCCACAGAAGGAGATGGAAAACTGCGAAGCCCCCTTCCACTGTCTGGCCAGGCAGTTCCACCGCCTGTACCGGGAGAAGCTGGAGGTTTTCCACGCACTGGCGTGAGGGCTGGGGTGGTGGCTCCTTGCGACAGTGCGGTGCTGCTGGGAACCCCGCAGCAGGCTGCGGCTTCTTGGAAGAGGAGAGAAAATAGAGTCACCTCAGCACTTCCAATGTATCATGACGGCTTGAAATAAAATGAGGAGAAACTAGAGCAGCAGCGGCTCCTTCCGTTCCTGGCCGGGGCAGCCCCGCTGCCGCTCTGCACTTGGGCTGCGGGTTCCAGAGCAGCCCCAGGGGCCCATGGGAACCTTGGCCGCCCTGCCTCCTGTGGGGCTGGCGCCACCCTCCCTGAATGGCCTTCCGCTGAGAGCAGACCCCACGGGGGGAGCGGGGGCTGGAATTGGCTTACAGTCGAGATGCTCAGCCTGGGACTGCCGCCTGGCTGAGGGGTGGACAGCCCTCCCCTTATCCCACCAGAGGCCCCTTTGCCGCCTCTTCCACTGTCCAGATGACCTCCCTCCCTTGCAGGGGCTACTGTCACTGACAAAATAGTGCCCTCTGCCGGCCTCCCTTCCTGCCTCTTTCTTAGCCAGGGGCCCAGCCCCTCCCAGCTGCCGGGAACCCTGAGCGCCCAGGGAGCCAAGAACGAGGCCACTTTCCTTTAATGCCTCGCCTCCCACTGAGCTGGGCAGCAGTCATAATTCTTCAGGCTGAGCTCGACTGTTTTCCGTCCTGTCTCTGCTGCCAGATTAATCTCCCTAAAACACCACTTTCATCAGTTCACTCCCTGATTCAAGACCCACGGCAGTTCCGCATTGCCTTTCACCTCAGGGCTGCGGGCCGCGGTCTGGCATCGAAGGCCACTTCTGACTGTCACCCTCACCCTGGGCTCTCGGCTTCTCTCAGCCCCAGTGCCCCGGAGGGCTTCATCACCCGCCCTCAGGCCCCGTGCCTCCCACCTTGTGGGCCTGGGGGATGTCATGCAGAGAGCGCCAGCTTGGGGGGAAACAGACGTGATAGTGGTGATAATGGAAATGACTCTGGTTCCCGTTTTTGACCTGCCATGTCTCTACATGAGCTAAGCACATTACATATATTAGCTAATTTAAGCCTTACAGTGTAGTCTTATCACCCCACTTACACAAATAAGCAACCGGAGTCGGAGAATTAAGTAACTTAGCCAAGGGGAGGTAGAGCTTGGCAGGGGGCAGGTGGAGGTCTTCTCACCCGGTTAGGCTGCCCGTCAAGGTAATCGTGAGAAGTGAAAGGCATTGAGAACATGACGTCACCCACGTCAGGCCCCTCTCAGCCACCTTTCTCTTCCCATTACTTCCCGAACTCACTGTAGACTCAATGATCTTCCTACTGAGTCATTCTCTCAGAAGATGGTGACCAAAGACCTAGTGTGTCAGGCATTTTTCTAGACAGCAGCAATGCCAAGCTGCCGGTCTCATGTCACGTGTTCCAGAAAGGAAGACCTAAAAAAAACAACCAAAGAGACATGGAGAAGACATTTTCAGTTGCCCCAGAATTGGTTACTGGGACCCACAGCTGTGGACAAGGAGATGCTAAGTAACCCACTTCCTAAAGAGATCACAAAAGGCTGAGACCAGGCACCTGCATGGTGAGATGGGAGGTGGTCTTGCTGCCCGGAAGGCCCCCAACCCCTCTGCTTCTTGCTCTTCCCTGTTTATCTA